TAATGGCATTTTCGTGATACCCGTTTGCACCTCAACTATCACTGGGCCGATTGATGGTATGTTGAGATATTCTCAGCAGAAACGTATATACCTACCGGTCACTTCTCTACAACCCCCAAATGGTAAATCAAAATCCATAAAGAGACGAACTGGACTATCTCCGTCAATATATTTATGTAATAAATTGCCTGTACGTTCTGTAAGTATTGCCTCTATCCCATCTTCAGAATCTATATCAAGAAATTGCCTTGATCTTACACTATCATCATGAATTTTATACATACTGTATATTCGGCCACACTCTCAGCTTTGACCCCTGGCAGTAGAAAGTCCCGTTATTTTCTTTCTCTATTTCTGGCTCAAAATTTTCTGAGTTTTCTGGGCTCTCTGGTCGAGAAGACGATGTTACTGATTCATCTGGCATGTAATATATGGATGCAGTTCGACAATTCTAAATATACAGACATACTTTGATAAGAGAGTAAGAACATTGCGTTCACATTACAAATAAATGATTCAATAATAATTTTTGAGTGAAAAATAAATTCCTACTCACGAATGAATCCATTCCGACGTGATCTGTACATGACGAATTAAAAGGTTATTCTCAATTTCTTTGTTGTGCATATTTACACATCATGAATGCCGCTCATAACAATTTTCCTTAGATACGTATACAATAAACACATGCTTATTAATCACGATAAAAAAGTTTTTTTAAATAATACGGTAAGTATATACTGTATGTAGTAAATTACCTCTAGGGTAAACTTAACCATCTCCAATTTGCATTTAGCAGTTCGTTACCACAACTTGTAATTTCTTTAAGAATTCTGCCTCATTTGTACAATCTTTCCCAATTTCGTACCACGATCACAGATTTCAGAACTCGAATAATCATCATCATCAATTTCTCGTGTTTCAAAAAATCACGCAGTAGATGAGTGGCGTAACTATAAAAGGTTGGGATCCTTACTAATTAATCCAAATTGGGTAACTGAATTATTTTTCGCACGATAGTACGATAGATAGATAGTTACGTATTTCGAGAGTCAGTTAAAAAAAAAGATTAGTTAAAGGAGAATGATTTAAAAAGCCCGTGAAATCCTTGAAGTCATTGTTTAATTATTTCAAAAATAGAAAGATTACAAGTGTCAATGTTAACAAAACTCGAGAATTGTATAGTAAACACGCTATTATTTTCACAGGTTATTTTTACGGGTTATTTTCACACACTTATTATTAAGCAAATTCAGATGCGTTGTAATAAGACCAATGCAGAATTATAAAAGAACACATAAACCGACTCACCTTTTTTTTTTTCCATACTCTTTACATTTCACTTTCGACACTCTTTACACTTTTGACACTCTACACACTACACTTTCGACACTCTCCAATATTTTTTACATCCTTTACACTTTCGGTTTGGCACTCTCTACATTTTCGACACTCTATACATTTTCACACTCTACGTTTTTGACACTTTCATTTTTGATACTTATCGCATTTCTACATTTTCGACACTTTCTAAATTTTCGGCACTCTCTATATTTTAGGCATCTCTCTATCACCACCATTACTACCACCACCACCCGAGCTTTACCACCACCACTCGAACTTTACCACCAGCACTCGAACTTTACCACCACCACTCGAGCTTTACCACCACCACTCGAACTTTACCACCACCACTCGAACTCTATCACCACCACTCGAACTCTATCACCACCACTTGAACTCTATCACCACCACTTGAACTCTATCACCACCACTCGAGCCCTACCACCTTCACTCGAACTCTACCACCACCACTCGAACTCTATCACCACCACTCGAGCCCTATCACCACCACTTGAGCCCTACCACCACTACTCGAACTCTACCACCACCACTCGAGCTCTATCACCACCATTCGAGCTCTATCACCACCACTCGAGCCTTATCACCACCACTACTCGAACTCTATCACCACCACTCGAGCCCTACCACCATCACTCGAACTCTATCACCACCACTATAACCACCACTCGAACCCTATCACCACCACTCGAATTCTATCACCACCACTCGAATTCTATCACCACCACTTGAATTCTACCACCACCACTCGAGCCCTATCACCACCACTCGAGCCCTACCACCACCTCACCACTACTCGAACTCTATCACTATATCTTTTCTTCACTATCATCGCATATTTTCTATTTATTATATTATACTGTATATACAGTATATTTTAAGATAATATGTCTGTAATATAGAAAGAATTAGGGTTAAGGTTAGTGGGAACTGAAATTAGGGTCTAGGATTAGGTGAGGATTACATAGTAGTAAGATGATAAGATTGGTGACAGATTTTATCCTTAC